CAGGATGGTCTCGATCTCTTGACCTCGTGATCCACCCGCCTCGGCCTCCCAAAGTGCTGGGATTACAGGCTTGAGCCACCGCGCCCGGCGCTAGTCTGTTTTTTTAAACACCCATGCAAGTCAGGAAATGGCGGCGAACTCAATTTCTCAGTTTTACCAGCTCCCTTTGACAATAGCAAGTCCTACCGAACGCGACTTTTTCCTCTTGTGTACCAAACCGAGATATACCAGCTGCTACGATTTTTTAGTGGTAGCCAAACACGTTTAACGGTGACTATTTTTGTTTGTTTGTTTGTCGTAGGAAATTTAGAGAGCTGCAACCTGTAGAGGTTTAGATCTGACAGAGATATCCTAATGGTAGGATTGCATCATTAACAATATTTAAAATTTCTTCTTCGTAGGGTTCGTTCCCTGTAAATTTTATTTTAAAATTAGTTTTATGTCTTTTGCTTTGAGAACGATGTTAGCGATGTCTTTGATTTCATTTTTACTTGCATTTCAGACTTTTATTATTTTAAAGTGTTATTTTTATTTGAATGTAATTTTTTTTTTTTTTTAGAGGGAGTCACCCTCTGTTCCCCAGGCTGGAGTGTAATGGCGCGATTTCGGCTCACTGCAACCTCTGCCTCCCGTGTTGAAGAGATTCTCCTGCCTCAGCCTCTCGAGTAGCTGGGACTACAGGCCCCCGCCACCACGCCCGGCTAATTTTTATTTTTCTTCAGTTGTTGCACCCAACCTGACCTTTCCCTTTCGCGTGGGGTCCTTATGTTCTTTGTGCTGTCACTTTCTCGGTCCTAGAAACGCTAGTGTCTCCTAGATACTTCCTGAACCCCTTTTTGCGGTGCAGAACAGTGATTGCACGGAGCCTCTGTACGCACCAGTAATAACGTGATACCTCTAGCCGGCGCATTTTCTGTCACAACACATTAAAACGGGTTAAGACACATTAAACCGATTAAACACGTAAAACGGATTAAAACACATTTAAATGCCACAATACGTTTGTTTGACTTTTTTTTTTTTTTTTTTTTTTT